TCCTTCACCCCCACTCTGGGGGCTCTGTGTGCCCCCCATTCTCCTTCACCCCTACCCTGGGGGCTCTGTGTGCCCCCCGTTCTCTCCCCCCACCCTGGGGGGCTCTGTGTGCTCTCATTCCTCCCCAGGGCTGCCCCCCCATAACATTGTCTCTTGTTCTCCCCATCCATGCCAGGGGCTTGTGTCCCCCATTTCCCATTCCCCCCATAACAGGGTCATAAGAACAGCCATACTGGGTCAGACCAAAGGTCCATCTAGCCCAGTGTCCTGTCTTCCGACAGTGGCCAATGCCAGGTGCCCCAGAGGGAGTGAACAGAACAGGGAATCATCAAGTGATCCATCCCCTGTTGCCCAATATCCCCCCAGCCAGGGGTTCTGTGTGCCCCCCCATTCCCTCCTCCTCCCATACCAGGGTCTCCCATTCTCCCCCTATGCCAGCAGCTCAGTGTGCACCTCTTCTGCCCCATGGCAAGGGCTGTGTGTGCACTCTCCTCCCCTCCTCTCCCCTCCCCATTACCACTCTTCTTTCTGTCGGAGTGATAAGTCACTCAGGATGTCAGCTCTACTGGGAGGACAGGCAGAGCCGAGATGGGGGCCTGTTATGCTGAAAGGCACGAACAGCTGCAATCTTCAGCCAGCTGCAGAGGGGCTTGAAGATGTGGCTGCGTTAAACTCCAATAGGGGCCTTGTGTCCCCTCCACTCCCCCAGCCCCACATCGGTGGAGTTCTGCTCATTGGCGCCTAGAACAATCCCTGAAACTTTGGGGTTGATCAGCGTTCCAAAGGTAGGGCCTCACTTCCAAAGATGCTCTGCCGGGAAGGACGGCGGAGCGGCCGGGGAGCTCCGAGGCAGAGCTGGAGCGGGTCGAAAGAGAGATTTTAAGTCCATACTCCAGAAAGAGCGAGACGGTGGCATCTTAAAGCCTCCGCTGAGACTCTCAAATTATTTATTTTTGTAAAGTTAATTTTCTAGCCCTCACGGTTGCAGAGAAAAAGCAGATTCGAAACTTAGATGTTGCAGAGGCTTTAGTTTGAAATGCCCTGCTGACCTGAGATGCCACCTTGCCACTCCTCATATTACTTCCAAAGATGAGCTGGTGGGGGAGATGGGACCAAGCAGCGCTCTGAGGAGTGGAAGCCACGTAGGGTCACCAGATGTCCCTATTTTATAGGGACAGTCCCGATATTTGGGGCTTTTTCTTATCTAGGCTCCTATTACCCCTCACCCCCGTCCCGATTTTTCACACTTGCTGTCTGGTCACCCTAAAGCCAGAGACCTGTGACACAATGCACATAGAAACACTCTTTATTAATGACAGATAAGCAATAGGCATACTGATTTCTTCTCATGCTGAGTTTTCCAGAGATCCTGGATGGACGGGGAAAGGGACAAGGCATGCAAAGTTAACAGCGAGATCATCAGCGGGAGTAACAAGCCACTCGCTAAACAATTTACAAGGAGAATGGGTTACAAATTTTAAAAATAGTGTTAAAGAAACTCCATCCGACGTGTGATTTCTATTATACAAACACTGAGGCCATGGCGGGGACCGCTGCAAAGGAGTCCGAGCCGGACTGGGGCCAGGTTAGCATTTGGACAGCGGTCCCCGACGACGGTTAGCATCGGAAACGCAGGCCCGGCCGGGGTGACTCGGGGTCTGGATGAAACGGGGGAAGGCCCAGGATACCCCCTCGTGACTACGGTGAAACTGAGCAATTGCAGGGGTTTTATTATTGCTAGTAAAAAGAAAATGAGAAAGCGGGGGGGTCTTTTTATTGGGCTAGAGAGGAAGCTGAGAGGATGAGGCGATGCGTGTGTTTCGTACTCATAACAGCTGATAGGGATGGCGATGCGTGTGGGGGGCAAGGTTCCTTTCCCAGTGTCAGGAATAGAACCCAGGAGTCCTGGCTTTTCCCAGCTCTCACAAAATGCAACAGAAAGACAAGGAGGAAGGCTGGAGGATTTGGAGAGGGTGGTTAGGATTCTGGCCTGGTGCACAAGAAGCTGTTCCATTTGGAGGCGTTTTAAAGTACGCTGGGCCCAGGTCCTTTGTTCACTGCTTGATACTGCGCCGTGTCTCCAGGAGGAGCTGCTCAAAGCCTTTTCGTTATT